ACCTTCCCCGTGCCATTAAATGCAGATTATTGCAGGCTTTTAACGGAGATCTTATGGTGTGAGGCATCGTGGGAACTCTGGTGAACCTCCCGACCCCACGCACCACTGCAGCACAGTGACCCTCATCACGTGACAAAGGAATGTACCGCATCTTTTGTTTTAACACCCACGGCACTCATGGAGTTGAGAGCGTTTTTGCATAGCACAGAATGATTACTAGCTTGGCATTTTGCCTTCCCATTCTCCCCCCAGTGTTATTCCCAAACAGGATTTGCAAGCTGCTCTCTCCTGCACCTTTTAAATCACTTCAAGCGCTACTGAAGCCTTTTTCACCCAAAGCGGGCACCAATCTAATGGCATCATTTGGGCCAGCACACATCAAGAGACTCAACCCCCCGCCCCCCCCCCCCCCCCCTTTTTTTTTCTGTGCTTAAGTTTTTTGTGAACAGCGCAAAACAAAAGACCGGCCCAATGAAGCGCATCTTTGCTTGCGGGCTGAATAGAGGGGCCCCTTTCATGGCTGTTTATGAGCACCCCTCTTCAAAAACACACATACAAATCACATCCAGTTCTCCGAATGGCTCCTCTGATGGCATGATGGCAGGATGATGGCGGGATGATGGCAGGAAGGCGAGAGGGCGTGCATCCTGTGGTGCCTCTCTCCCCTTTCATACGTTCAAATTGATGGAGGTTAACTGTCCTTTCCATCAGTTTGTTTTCATTGGATGAATGATTGGATGATGTTACATAATGACAAGTGTAAAATATCATTAAAGCCTTCATATAAGAAATACTGGACAGAAGCCAGTCGGTATCAAACTGTTTTTTGCCTTCTGTGTTTTTCCAAATGCATAATGCGGTTTGTGGGGAAGCTTGTTCGTTTCTCCACTTTATGTGTGGAGAGCAACTTACGTCAGACTTAGCCCAAAAAGCAATTGGATGCTATAATCGGTCAGATATCCTTTTCAAAACGTAGCCAAAAGTCATTGTTTGCTTTTCAAGTTTTTGCATTTTCTTCCTCCCCTTATCTTGCATTATAGCAGATGAAATAATATTCGTGGTTTTGACCCGTTTGTCAAACTATTAATCGGTTCATCGAAAAAAGCCCAAGATCAAACAAAAAAACATTACACTTTAATTTGTTGATGATATGTTTCTTATTTAGCATAGAAAATGTCTCAAAAGCCAATCTGACTAACAATCCAAAGTTATTAATATTGCTGACAAATTGCAAAGTCCTTTCCCTAAGACTTCTTGTAACAGCCTCTTCCGCTCTGTGTCAGATCTTGTTCAACAGGTAGGGTTTGATGGACAGGAGGAATGCAGGCTCGGGGATTTGTTTAGTAATGGCAGTCCATTCTTTGGGTGTTCTTAGACAAACAGAGCGGCGCTATGTCCTGTTTTCACGGGTTTCACACGTCACTGTTCAAACTCTCAAACAGGCTGGTCCCCAAGAGTACATGGAAGAGGGCAAACAGCGCGCTAATGCTTCACCACTGTGACCTTCTGCTAACTTCATACACACACACAAACACACAGATGCACAGTCAGACTTGTGAAATATTTATCTCAGGTTTTCGGTGGTTTATTAGTTGTGCAACTGAATGAGTGAATGTATGCTGACTAGGGGTGTAACGATTCATTCACTGAATCGATTAATCGATTTATATTCCTGCGATCCAATTGAATCGATCTGTGCTCCGCAAATCGGCATTCCGGACGACATATATCGATTACAAATCGAATGAAATGGTACATAATCGATTGTATCGATTCTTGGAAACAGCACATTGGATTTAAGTACAAAAACGGCATGGATGCGTGTTTGTTTATTTGTTTTTTAGCACTTTAGACACGTTAAACGTTACTGGATTCAGTCTGCCTGTCTGTGACGTCATCAGAATCAAATCGAATCGAATCGTTCTAAATTAACCCAGATCGTCCATGAATCGAATCGGCAACCCTGAATCGTGATTCGAGTCGAATCGTTGTTAAAATGAATCGTTACACCCCTAATGCTGACACATAAGTGTGGATCCATCTGATAAAAGTGTGTTCCTGCTAGGTTTTGGCTTCACTTCACAACGCTTTCTTTCTTATAATATTTAATGAAGCACTTTCCATGTCTCAGGAAATAGACTTTTAAAAAACAGAGGTCTCGTTAATTTGGGTGGTGGGTGCTATTTGTCATGTCGAAACAGCATACGAGCGTGTCGACCTTATTGAGTGCTACTTTAATGTATTTGGGTTAAATGCACGGAAAATAATGGGGTACGAATTCTGTGGGAAAGCTCATAAAATGATAGATTTCCAAGTGCGAAACAGTGCAGTGTCTATTTTCATTATGGCACGGAAAAACATAGAGGAAGCATATAGTGCTCCCTGGTTTGTGCGCACCACTTTTTCTCGGTTTGATTTAGTTTATGTAAGCACGTGTGAAGTAGTTAGGTGCGTATATGTCTGGACTTGTGTGTCACTGCAGTGTGTCTTTATAGTACTGCCAAGTTCCCGGCCATGTTGTCCTTTTATTCAAAAAGAAACCAAACAACACCCGCTGCTTCTATAGGTCCCCGTGCGATCCTCTCTTTACTGTTCTCCTTCTTTCCGCTTGTTTTAAATCTGTCTCCGATATACGAGGCATTCCTTTCTGCTTGTGTAACGCGATTTGATGCGAACAGGCAGAGAGAGGGCAAATGAGGCAGAGAAAGAGGGAGAGGTTTGTCTTGCCGGGTTTCATGACCTACTGCGCGCTCATATTTCTCAGCCCGCTTCACGGCTGTGGGTAGCTGCCTTATCGTTGCTTTCCTCAGGCCTTTCCGTCATGCGTGGCCTGTGTGGATCTCTCCTGTGTACGGTAAACCCGCCCCTCGTAACCCTGCACACGATTAAAGCAAACACCTCCATAACGGCGTGCCGTCGACTCGCACCGGGGACGTTTGCGGTTTGACCTCACGGCTGTAATCCTTCATTTGTGGCTCAGAAATAAGACAATCTGCTTATGAATAAACCTTTGAGCCTGACTCTTTTTTTTCTTCATTTAAACAATCAGCTATATGTGCAATATTTCTACATGACGTAATTGTTATATATACATCTCTGGTACTACATTTTTGAAAGAGTAAGGGGGTGCAGAGTTGAACGTAGGGTGTTGCTCTAGAGGGAGCTGTTTACTGAGGAAATGTACAGTCATTCAACCCTGGCCCCCTCTCTAAATCTGTTTCTTCGTGTTCTAGAGAAAAAGGAATCATTGCTGCTTCTACAGTAGCAAAAATCTTTTTTTTTAAATTGATTTAGTATCTGATCAGATTCAACTCTCAGGGAGACAAATCATACAAAATATAGTAATATAGTCAATAAACCAGTTTTTGGAAGGAAAGATTTGTGGAGTGTGTGTGTCCTCACCTGTGGCCCCACACTGCACACGCGCGCGCACACACACACACACACACACACACACACACACGAACGCCCACGGATGTTTACACAAGTTTCACACAGCCAACAAGGGCAGATGATGAGCTGTCAGTCAGACCTCCAGAGGCAGAGCGGAGATGGGGAAGAATGCGTCCGTGCCGATGGATGGTTACACCTGTGTCTTGTCTGTGGTTTCCTGCGGCGATGTTGCATGCTGTAATCCCTAACATCGCCTGTGTTTATGCTTGTGTTTTTAGTTACAGGCCTGATACTCTTCTGCTTCACTTACTCCTCGGCCCGGCCCAGGGGCGTCCTCCCCGTGAGCCGACGAGCCCGCTACACACACACACACGCACGCACACGCACACATACGCAGGCTTGTCGGCACGTATGCAACTACGGTAAATAAACACAGTAGCTGTTCTCATACGTCGTTCATGCAGTTCGTGTTCATACAGTCAAGGGTGCATTCATAGGAAGTTGAGTTGCTGCAGTTCTTAATGGCTGCAGATCGAACAAGAGGCTGTTGTTTCAGGGGTTGTTATGTAAAAAGGAAATTTGTGGCCAAACTCTGTTCTAAATTTAGAATGTGCAAAACCATATTATCCTGTTGATCTGGACCTGGGCTGCAATAATGAGATCATCTACGAGGGACATTAAATTGTGGTTATTTCCTCGTGTGCTCAGGGTTTTTTGAGGAGGTCTTTTTTTTGTTGTTTTATATGGTTTGTACATCGTCACAAGTGACGCCGGCTGCGCCACTGAGCTCATAAACGGGGAGTAGAATGTTCCAATGCCAGCGACTGAACTCACTTTTATTTTTGTAAATGTGCTAAAATTAGGGCTCAGCCGCGGCCAAAAGTTCGCCCCAAACTCCCTGAATGACACACCTTTCGAGAAGTGACTCTCAACATCTGCTATTTTTATCACAATCTTACTTTTTTCCACTGTTTTCGTTCCGTTCTCTCCTCAGTTTTTTTTCTTTTCTGAGAGACGCTATAAGTGATGCGGTCCTGCTTTTCATTTAAAAGATTTGTTGGGTGTATTAATAAATACAGGATACTAAAGGAATGACATGCTTACGCGGTGTTTGTGAACACCCTGTACTCTGACGTGAGTAGCGGCGGAGAACCAGTAATGCGTCCGCTCTGCTAACACACCCTTCTCAGACCGCTGAATGGTCCGTTGTAATGGTGGCATTTCAACCCTTCAAAGCCAGTTGGATGTTGAGATTTGGTTTGCCGCTCTCGGGAGCAAACCGAGCCATGACGGCGCATGAGGTGACAGCTCATACTGGCCGAGAGAAAGTCGTACACTGCAGAGTCCAGCCTGTTTTAAATAACAGTGTTTAAGCTCTGTGGTTCTTCTTCCGCTCGATGTAAAATTGATGAGATCCGCCCGGCGCCCATCTGATATTTCTGTCCCTGACTTATTGTTGTTAAGCGTCGTTCTGCTCCGCTGTGGTCAATGTTTTCCATTTGTAACTCTGATTACATGCTCTAACGCTGTTTTAGCGATCGAATACTATATGCTGCAGGCCTATGAAGTGACATTTGTCCTCTTTGTATTTCTTTTTTTCTTCACAGTGAAGGAATCCCATTTCATGGAATGAGAGGCCAATCTTTAATTGCTTTCCAGGGAATTTCTGGTGAGTAGCCCATATGTTTCTAAAAAAATGCAAATAGTCTACTGAAACACTAAAACAGCACAAGAACACTGTCCGGGGGCTTATGTGTCCCGGCTTAGCTGCCTTAAGGTGATGGTGAGGTCTACTTTTACGAACATATCTAACAACTGGGAGCTAAAATAGGAATTATTTAGCTCAACATGAAGAACATGTGGGATATTTGTTGTGAAGCGCCAAAGAGATTAACCTCTTCCTCAAAGTGGCCTTTTAACACAAACTATTTTACTACGCAGCTTTTTTTTAGGACAGTTTTGTGACTATCCTCCAGCCTGCTGTACCCAATGTACTAAAGCCCCTCTCCCACATCCCATCAGCCCCCTCACGCTCCCCACCACTGCCCCCTATCCGTTGCTCCCTCATTCAAATAGTCCACCCTCTACCAACCAGTGTGTGCCTGTCAGCATGTCACCCCAGGGTGATGCCCCTCTCCCAGCCCCTTGGGTCCCTTTTGACTCTGCAGCACTCCGTGTTTGCCCAATCATTTGGGAACCGGATACGGGGATGAATTGTTAACTGCAGCAGGTCAGCTTGTGACCCCCCCACCCCCCCGACCTGCTGTTGACTCATCGCCATGGCAATGGGTGCAGGAATTTGTTTTCTCCCATGTGTCTGCTGCCAACCGGCAGCCCGCCACAACGCCCCCCCTCTTCTCTTCATCCTCGTCGCCGCGTCCAATTAAAGGGCGGCTAAAAGGAAGTCACATGGTCAGGAAGTGCTGAGGGTGCATCCCACTGAGAGAAGCACTGCTGTCACTGGAGCTGTGGGAGGGAAAATGTGTGTAATTTGTTTTGCAGAAAAGTCAAACCAGTCATTGACGATTTCCCGACACACACAAGCATGAAGACTTTTTTAAACAGAAGATCCAAAATGGAAACACTTCACTTGAAGAAAGCTTCGTAAAGTAAAATAGCATTTGAAAAAAAATTGCGTCCAGTGTGACGGCCTTTGGTTGAAATACCTACAATGCTGTTTAGTTTTCCAATGATGAATACCCTAAACTGAGCAGGCGTATAATACACTGTACATTAGATACAGGTGTATTTCCTTACTCACAGCTCAGTGCCAAAGTACAAAGACACACAGATGTCTTGCATTTCTCACCTTGGTACAAAAACATCCTGGCAGTTTTAAGTAGTTTGATTCCCGTCGTTGTCTCGATATATCAAAGATCAAGTGTGTATCTGTGTGTGTGTGGGTGTTTGTGTTTGCCCTCACACAAGTTATTAGCTTAGGGCAGGTGAGTGTTTGCCTACCCGTCTCCTTTTATGAAGTGGCTGTTTACCAAAGGAATGCACCACGTCCGATTTGTCATTGACTCTTATTGTTCAGCTCATCCAACTGGTGCCTAGAGATGGAGCGGTGCTGCGCCCCGGCAAGTGAGAAATATGTGCTTTCCTTTCTTTCTTTTTTTTCCTCACTTGCTCAGTGTATTTTGCACGTGTTCTCGGTTGACTTGATGGAAAAGTCTCGAGGTTGGTAAACCCATTTGGAGTGAAAGTGAGATGTGTCCAGACCTTTTTATCGAGCGAAAAAGGGGAAAGTGAATTGCTCATCGTCATCGAGTTGGATGCCACCAGCTTCAGAGAATTCACAAAGGTTTTGATGAAAGCCGGGGTTTGAGCCCGGCTCTCCACCTGTGACTACATGGAACGCTCTGGTTTTGGACCTCGGTCAGTCGAGATAGAAAATTACAAAAGCCTTCACTCTCAAGCATTTTTTTGCGAACTGAAAAATTTGGCTGAAAAATAGAGAAAACTGTATGACGTGATTGAATGGAATTACTTCTGAACAGGCACATCCTGTAGATACATATGAACCCTGATGAGCAAAGTTGGCTCCCTCGCCTTGTGGTAACGAGGAAGCCTCCGCAAACTAATCCCCCCCACTGCACTTGAGCGGTTAACAGTGTCGTCACAAACGGCATGGTGTAGCTTTTCATGCTTGTTTATTTCCTTATTAAGCTTTTTGTTTTTGTTTTGCCTTTTAGTCACTGTTTGTTTTAAGTGTTTGTATTTCTGTGGGCATCTGTGTGAAAAGCTCCATGTTAGTGCTTGTGTGGATGTTTTCGGTGCGTTTGAATGTGGGTGCCCTCGGCCGTTTGTGCGGCTGTCGTCCTGTGCCACCATCTGGGTGGTCCTCATGGCTGGTTTGATGGTAATCCCCCTGTCCCATAAATCAGTGTCCGGGCTCGGGCCGGGAGCTGATGCTCTGTGACCACTGGAGCGGGGGCGGGCGGGCGGGGGGGGGGGGGGGTCGAGGCACTAAGCCGAGACCCCAGCCGCTGCCCCGGCCCGGCCCGGCCACACGTCAGCTCTCCACACCACCTTTAGAATAACTTGCCACGCTTGGCTGACGTTGGGAAACCGCCTCGGCTCCCATACAAGTCCATACGAGCCGCCGACAATATAAGCTGAAGTAGAAAAGGAGGGCGCACTCATAAAACTGTAGCACACCACAAGATAAAGTTTCATGACTTATGACCCGAACAGTTTGCGACTCCTGAGCATTTCCCTCAATATCCAGGCTTTCAAAACTTCTTCATTATGGAGCATTTTCTTCTTGCAAATTCTACTTTGTGTATTCAACCAAAATACAATTTGTTTGTTGTGACCGGTGGCTTCTGATATCCTCCCGGAGAGCTGCTCTCAGTTCAAATGTTTCTGACGGAAAAGTGCTTAGATTAAAGCAATATCTCAGTCTTTGTAGGGCCGATACCTCTCTCTGAGAACGAGGAGGGAGGATGAAGGCCTGCTGGAGCTGTCTGGCTTGCATACAGCTCCTCGCTGAGCTTTTATCTAGGGAGATTGGCTGCAGCTCTGTCCGGACCCGGCTCTCGGGGAGTGCACAGACCTGAGACCTGTGGCATTAATAAAGGTAATGCTGTTTGGAATAATAACAGTCAATTCCGACAAGTAGAGGAGAGAGACAACAGAGTGTACCGCGAAACACAAAAGAAGCCAAGATGAAAGGCTGCAACGCAGGCCTGTGCACCTCTCTGGCTCTCTTACGTACTGATGGAAGCGTTATCAGCATGCTCGCGTACACAAACACTACTGAGAGGGAGCCTATGCCGATTTTGACCCTCGGGTGCCATGATGCAGAAATGCAATTTGTTCTTTTGTCTGCCAAGATCACAGAGGGAGAGTGACTTGTATTTCTTTTTATTCTTACCTTTTTTTTTTTCTTTGCTCTCCTCCTTTTCATTCTCTCTGTGCCCCGTTGCCTTGAGTGAGAGCAATTTAGTTTGATGAGCAGGTGGTCTTTTTTGAAATCTCACAGTGCTTTTGGCTCCCACCTCTGGCGTGTGGGGCTTTCAGTTGGAGTCAGTCATGTAGGCCGGGATTAGAAGGGTGGAGGAGAAGGGGGGGGGGGGAGGAAGTCCAGGGAAGATTCTTCTTGGCATTGGCGACCCCAGCGCCGCGCAGTCAGAACCATGCGGAGAGCGGATTGAAAGAGTTATTTTTTTTTTCTCGTTTGTTGCTAAAGCCCTGAGGCGTACCCCCAGATGGCTTTTGTGCAGGCCCGGGGACGTGTTTAGGGACAGGGTTAAAGCAACAGAGTCCTTAAGGCTTGGTGAGTCTCGGGGCTCAGCAAGGTAAAGCACTCTGGGCCAGACAGACGGAGAAGACAAAACGTTGTGGTCTCGCCACTTTTCCACCTTGAATCTGAACAGTGGAGCGGAACAAAATAGGTGGATTAGAGCAAAGGGGAAGACATTGCCCTCAGCGCGCACACACACACGCCATGTAGAGTGAGATTAAGGCCTCACCCAAATAGAGATTTACTGGAGCATCTCATCTCATGTCACATAGGACAAAAGCACTGGTAGAACAAATGAAGGGAAACCTGCTGTGTCTGCAGTTCCAGTGGAAACACTTTCACCTTCTGTGAACCTTTTCCTAGTAGCAATAAACTCTACTGACCAAATTACAAATTCCTTTTCCTGCTTTACCTTTGATCTCAGTTTCATCACACTTTGCTAATGTACCAGCCCTCTGAATACTTATGTTATGTTATGTTATGGCCCATCACTTTATCTGTCCAACATTCCTCCGCCATAATCTCCGCGGCGATGCAGATGCAAGTAATAAATATTTGTCAATAATGTTGTGCCAGTTTGTCAAAACTGGTGTGCTGCTCTGCTTTTTTTTTCTTGTGTTGACTTGTCATACAACCCTGTTCTCCTGCCCTTGAGCATGAGGACTTTCCTGACACTAAAATCTTACAAATGAAATTGGCAGGTTGGACACCTGTGTTTGCCATTATGTGTTGATGAACAGCAGGAAATGGGTCCGGGTCCTTCTGGGTTCTAGCTGGAGCCCTGCGGCTTGCAACCACACAGACCCGGGAACGTTAATCATTTGTTTATTATTGGTGATATTTGCCCGGTCGTAATCCTTGGCTGGATTAGACTTCATGTGGTCCTCGTCCTACCTTTTTCCTACGTTGCAGTCCTGTTGCACAAGGAGTTTTGTGTTGCAGTGGCGTGCCTCTAGTGCGTCAATGCATGAATGTGTCTTTCAGTTTGTGAGCCATTTCACACGTGTCGCTGAAGGATGATGGTAATCAAGGGAGTATGACAGATATCCCCTCTTAACTCCATCCCATCTAACGACGTGATCAATAGAAACGGCTCGTACTGTGCCGGATGTTACGCCAAGGCATTGTACTCTGCAGCTCAGCTTGTGGCTGAAGGCATATTCAGGGCATACTATATTAAAATGTATAGTTCCAGAAAGTTAATTTCAATCCCAAAGGAATCACATAAGAAGCCCTATAGGAAGTAATTAATCAAAGATGCTGAATGTCAGCTTGCCGTCATCGGAAATGGGATATGACTGATGTCATCCAGTGGTGAGAGTGCTTACGGGTCTGTGCTGTGTTTTGCGAAACTGTTGGCCCTAATTCACCTGGATCGGAGAGGGAACAGCGTTTACTGTGCAGACCTAGTTTTTTTTCTT